CATGTCCTCTGTTTCTGTTCATGTCCTCTGTTTCTGTTCGTGTCCTCTGTTTCTGTCCTCTGTTTCTGTTCGTGTCCTCTGTGATGTCATGTCTTTAGTTCACTGCAGTTCATTGTGAACTGGATCGAACTGTGTTTGTGTTGGTGTGTTTCTGTCTGATTGGACAAATCGCTCAGCGTCTCAGATACCGGTGTCATCAGCAGGAAACAGGCCCCGGCACCAATTAGCTCACAGTCGGACGTCTCTCACACTCCTGACGCTGCCGTTCCAGGAAGCTGTGGTTCCTCCGTATTCCCCTGAACACACAACAGCATCCTGCAAAAACACACAACCCCCTGAGGCCGCAGACACAGAGAGGAAGGGTCTGATTCTCACAGATGAATGTTTGTGTCTGAGGAACGAAGGTTTCAGCAGAAGTGCGTTTGTCGCAACGAAGGTTTTATGGTTTTCACGGCTCTGTGTGTATCTCAGATCTCACCTGGTTGTGTAATAGAAATCCAAACAAAACATCCTCAGGGTCAACGGCACGTTGTGTAAGAACACGATCTATTGGTGTTGTAATAAATCCAGGTCACACAAGAGGTGAGAGGCTCCGTTCATCTTCACGTGTGTCTTATCTGGTCGCAGCAGTCGCACAGAATAATGTGACAGCTTCACGTCAACGTGAGGATCGAACACACGAGGCAGAAACAGATGTGACCTGTCGCCTGGTTTCACCTGCAGGTTATCACGTTGGTCATAAATCAGTGTGACAACAGGAAGCTTCAGTCGTTATCGAACCCTTGTGGCACAGAAACGTAGTAAAGGTTTGATATTTTACAGTTTAGCCACAAAAGGAAAACAGGAAGTCAGAAGATCATTGCTGCAGCTATTGAAGATCTGAGAACTGACGCCGTGATCAGTCGTTTCCTCGGATGACCTCGGTGAGTTCGGTGGCATCGGTCCAGTTTGCAGGAGCTGACGAACACGAGTGAATTTGTTTCTCTCACGTCATAAACAGAAGTTTTAACTGTGAAACCAAACCGCGTCAGAGTTTATTCATTAATATGTAAAATCGTTCTGTTTGTTCATCCTCAGGGACTAACTGCAGGAAACATCCTCGTACACCAGATACTGCGAATGTTGATTTGTGTTACTGCTTCTATTTACATACTTGTATTTGTACACACTGATCTTTGAATATTGAAACTTAAATGCTTTTTACTTTACGTCAGTGTGGTAAATATTGAAGTTCACCAGGTTATTAGAGTGTTTGTCTCCAGCAGGTCGTCCACTCTCCTCCTCCTCTCTTCACCTCACGTGAACGTCAGAGCATCTCTGTCAGAAAAACACACAACTCATGACATCACAACTTCTTCTTTATTTGCTGTATCATTTAAAAACAAAGTGGGTGTGGTTGAATTAAGATTTGACAGACAGCTGAAGCCACAGAAGAAACAGAGTGAGTGGACAAATCTCCTGAGACATTTACAGCCAAGTATCGACAGATCGTTCCGCGTTCTGTTCTCGGTTTAATCGAAGCGATATAAAATAATTAAATAGCTGTAAATATCATTAAATATCAACATTCATAAAACTCTTCCACGATGAGGAACCACTGACACAATCACAACATATTTACATGAATTTCAAAGCAGCAGCGAAACTTTACATGTGAACTTTGTGGTTATTAAAATATTGTGTGTGTGTGTGTGTGTGTGTGTGTGTGTAGAGGAAAGCAGTTTTGCATTTGTGTGTACTTGCTAAGCTGAACCCCCCCCCCCCCAACATGAAGCTAAACTATTCTCATCCCTCATGTTTTGCGTCATCAGCACCGTCACTGCTCGTGTGTGAGCGCACAGTGAACGACAACCTGTGAAAAGTCTTTGTTCTGCAGTAACGCCGAGACTTTGACTTCCAAATGAAGCTCTGCGCTGAGACCAGCGGCTCACAGGGAAGCAGTCGAGAGAAGGTTTAGCTGTTTTCCATCAGCGGTGACGTGTCGGGGCCGAGGGTTCCTCTTACGACCAGCTCGGGGAACCACAAATAACAGCAAGCGTACAGTCAGCAGGTGCAAATGAAAAGACGTGAAGTGAAATTCATTTGACGGAGAGTGTGTTCACCACTGGGACGTCCTGTGCAGACCGTTCCCCTGCAGAGGGAGAGACACATGAGTGATGGTCCTTAATGATGAGGCACGTCACAAACTTTTCATTTCAAATGAAACTTTCTTATATTATAAAAAGAGAAAAGTCAGAAGAAGACCAGAGGGGACTCACTCACTCCCAGTGGCTTATAGAGCAAAGTAAGAGACACAAGGTGGAGAGAGCGAGCTCCACAAGGTAAGAAAAGAAATCCAGACACAAAGAGGCGATTCATCATCAACCTGAACAAGGAGTTGCTATGGAAACAGCAGGCGGAGCAGAGAAGCATCTGCAGGTGAACAGCAGGAATGTGGAGGAGAGAAGGAGCGGCGGGCGGGCGGGCGGGGTTCGGAGGTTCCACCTACACTATTTCCATTTGTCTGAGCGAACGCAGCGTTGGTGATTGAGGAGGCGGTGCTGCTGCCGCTGTCGGCTGCGGACGTGGTGGAAGCTCTGGGGATGACCACGTCATAGGTCGGGTCTGGAAGGTGCTGCGTGAACCAGAGTCACACTGAGTCTGAACCGTTTGTGTCTAAAACAATCAGCTGAAAAACTGTTTCTAAAGGTCACAGCTTCATTCCAAGAATCATTTGCCTACTGCGTGTGTGTGTGTGTGTGTGTGTGTGTGTGTGTGTGTGTGTGTGTGTTATACTCAAGCATACAGACTTCATGGGCGTGTACTCACTTGTCCTATAGCTTTGGAGATGAGAGCGAGCTCAGTGGGCTGGTAGACGGAACTACGCAGCTGCCCGGTGTAGCCGCTGTACGGAGACACA